TGCCCGTAAAATTAATACCCAGTGATTTTGGAGATTATTTCAATTGGCTGAGAGTTGAATAATGGGATTGAAAAATTTAGTAAGGAGCAAAGTTGGATTTTTTGTCAATTAAAAGTGAATTTTATCGACATTAAAAGTATACACTAATGGTCAGAGCAACAATCGATGCCTCCGGGAGTCCCCACACACGACGTGAATCTGCTTCGGTGCTCCTCAGCCTTATAAGGCATTGAAGACTGCATCCACGTATACCTCAGTCCTCTCCATATCGTCCAGACGTCCAGAGTATCTCCAATGTGATCAGAGAACCCCCTGGAACGCCCCTCACTCTCAAATCCCTTTTGTTATCTTTTTTTTTCATAATTTTTTCCCAATTATTTTCATTAATTTCATTTAGTACTCGCTGCATCGTTTATTCGGTGGATTAAACCGTATCTCAGGACTTGCTCGTCACTGATAAGTCATTTGGGTAAAAATAACGATCGTGAAAAAATTTTGGGATCGAGATGAGAGTAATTATGCGAAAATAGGAATTATCCCGGGAGGTCAATTAGAAAATTTTTGAAGGACTTCCATGGGACTTTAAAAAATCCGAATTTGATGTAACCAAAAGACTTATTTCAATCAAAGTCCTGAAGTATTCGCCATTATGACGTACCATCTAAAAATCCATTAAACTTGACAAATGATTTATTGAGTATTTGAAATCGATAAATCAAAGGGAAAAAAATGAAAATGAAAAAAAATGGTGGTAGTAAAAATGTCAGAATATTCAACTTTCTAACGCAGCAATTTGATGATTTCCCAAGAGACAATTCCGTCCTCCGCAGTACTTAATCATCACGATTTGAAATTTCGCAAGTGCATTTTCTGAAGTGATCAGCTTCTTTATGATTGTTCATAATGAAAAATCATGGGATCAATCAGAGTGTGCATAGGCGTTTGGCGTGGGCCCAGTTGATACTTCACTGACTCCACAACTTATACGCGTGCCAGTGAATTCATTGATGACTTCCATTCACACGCGGGCGCCGGCGCAGACGCGTGGGTGCATTTCACGGATTTTAAATGCATCTCGAGTATCAAAAGCACGAGATTTATGGTCGTGCGAGGTGAATGGAAGCAGAAGAAAGGGAGAGTTTATGAATATTTCACGTATCATTTTCTCATGTCAATGAAAATCCATTCCTCCACATCAGTTTCATCTACAGATGAAGACATTCGCGCCAAATACTGGATTGAATATTTTTTTTGCCCCTCAATTATTTAAACATAATTCACCATAAAACGTAAAAAATACGGAGAACATGAGGAAGAGGCGATAAAAATCCGGGGATTCGTCTAAGAGGTATACACCAGCCGCAGGATTTCTTTTCAAAAAAAAATTAGGGAGGCGTTGGATTTTTGAGAGATTTTAGAGAAAAATACGTCATTTCGGTACAGACCGTCATAAAACTCTCTTTACCGTGAAAAGGAGGCACTTCGGAGACACCGCGCCTTCCGGGGTCGATCTCACTGGAGACAAGACATCTTTTTACTCTTTTCACAGTGGGAGAAGACCTTTCACTCTATTTATGACCGAAACGAATCCCTTGGAGTGGCTGCATCCACCCGACTCTCAAGTTGGAACTATAATTGCTCTGAGACCATTTTTCCCACATTTTTCCTATTTTCCATATCATCCACAGATATTTGACATTGAAAATTATTAACAATTTTTAAAATAGAAAATTTTGTTAACGAATATTTTCAATGAATAATTGAATATTCAGGCGATTGATCGTCAATTAAGTGAATGTCTCGGTAAATTTCGGGTAAAGTTGGGTATTGACATAATTCCTCATTCGCAGACCGTAAAAAATGAAAAAGTGCATTTCTCCGTGAAATACGTCAGCCTAAAATGAAGAGAAAAAAAAAATGGTAGACCCCCGGGGATAGATTAAAGGTGCGTTATAATGGTGAAGGGAATCGATGGTTGGGACGTTAACGCGACGGCATTGGTTTACGACCACACGTATTATATAGGAACGGGTTGACAAGAGAGTGGGTACTCGTGCTGCGGGTTGAGAACGTGCGTCGTACCTTGTCGGCGTTAAGTTGCGCGTGTATAAAGCATCCGACGATAAAGAGTAACGGAGGGATGGAGGTGAGAGGGTTCCAGATGAACACAAGGAGGAAAGCGAGCGAAGCGCTGCAGTTATTCGCGCGGTGAGCTTCACAAGGATGTGAATTACTGCCGGTGAAACGAGCCTGATGCTGATACCTCCAGCTTCCGATGGTCCAGAGGGTGTTAAATAAAATTCAGCGTTGTTTAAATAAATACCGATTTTCCATT